CCCTAATTATTTCCCAAAGGCCCCGCCTTCAAATATCACCACACTGGGTCCCTGGCCAGTGTGGCCCAGTGGGTTGGAGCGATGTCCCATAAACCCAGGGTGCTGTTGGGGGACCTGGGTGGGGGGAGCCAGTTTGTGGGTTCCATCCGTGGTTGGGGTACATACCGAGAAGGCAGCTGGCAAATATTTTTCTCTCATGCAGATGTTTCTCTCCCTCTATCTCTCCCTCCCTTCCACTCTCACTTAAAAGCAATGAAAAAATGTCCTCAGGTAGGGATTAAAAAATATATATCATCACATTGGGATTAGAGCTTTATTCAACACATGAATTTTAGAAGAATACAAACATTCTGTTCATAAAATAACTGTGTGGGTATCAATTTTATCAGTTTACATCCTAGCTGTTAAATATGTTCAGAGTCATTCTATGCACATTCCTTGTAATGATCTCAGTTCAAAAGAACATAAACAGATCTTACCAAGTCTACAAAATAACACCAATAAGAATCTGGTCATTTAAGGCCAAGGTCAGGGGTTTGATTACCCCTACTTAGGACTGTTGAAAGGATGAAAGAGAAAAATTCAGTTGCAAGGACACAGATTACTCTCACTCTGAGCAATATTTAGTAAATCTCGACAGACCAGGCAACCACTTGTCTCTACTATACAAATAATTCTATCTTTCATCCCTAGCCGCAGTCCACTAGGCCTCTCTCTCTGGAAGGCTCACAGTTCAGTTTTGCATTCAGCTGAACTCATTACTCCTCACCATCTCCCTGAACTGAGGTTCCCCACAGCTGCTTACCTCGTGAATGGCACCGTTACCCACCCCAGTCACCCTGGACTCCCTCTTTCTAAGTGCCCACCCCTGGGAGAGGACCAAGAAATTGTGGTGAGTCCTCCAGATCTGCCCCACTACCTCAGTCCCACACCAAGTGCCCTCAACGTAGGTTCCTGCAGAGCCTCCCAGCTCACCTTCTGTCCCCCGCCCTGGCCAACTTGTGGCCTGGCCCACCTCGCAGCCACTGAGTTCTTTCCAAAGCACAACGCAATCACATCGTTCACCTGCTGCAAGTTCTCCATCTTCCAAACAGCTTTTGCAATCAAGCTCAGACTCCCCAGCTGAGCACCCAAGACCCTACAACCTAAGGCACACCCCTGAGCCTACAACTGTGCCTGCAGTCCCAGCTACCACTGTCAGTGCCCTCGCTACCTTAAACCTTTTCAAGCCGTCTAGGTTCCAAACACATGCATTATTACTGCATCGTGCACTACTGTGATTTTAAAAACCAGTGAAAAACAGAAACAAAACCTTGAAGGCACATAAGGAACCAAGTTTCTGTTCTTTATTCTGTCATGCCTTCTACAGCAAGAAAGAGTCAAGTATTTAAAATGCCAGAGCAGACTCTTCCCTGCACACAATCTAGGTTTCACAAGCTCATGATAAGATCTGACCTTTGATTCCTTCTTTGTCTTTCTAAGGCTGAGAAGACCAGCTCTGAGTAAAACTACTGTTTGTTCTCATGGTCTGTTGGCTGGCAGTTCTAATCAGAGACTGCTCGAACTGGACGCATACTTTTGTAAAGCACTGAAAGAAATAGGCTCCCCTCTGTCCCTTACCCCTAGAAGGACCCAGAGGACTGACTGCCCTCTGCCACCACCCCTGGCCAGGTCACTTCCCTCTAATCAGACAGGCTTGTGGAAGAGAAGTATACCCAGCCCACTGCTTTCCAGGTGCACGATCTTCTGATTTAAAAGGGGAGGCTCCAAGGTGGTAGAGGTCCTTTGCACACAGGGTTTGCTTCACCAATTATTGATAGAATGTGTGCTCTGTGAGGGGACAGGCTTGCTCTTGGTTCTTGCTGTGTTTGTTATCAGAGGCCAAAACAGAGCCACAGAGGCCCTTAGGAGAGGGTCTGTGGGTATTTGCTGAAGGACAGAATAAAAGAATGGATGGACAATTGAGCAAACAAACAGGCATTCCTCCCAAATTAGAAAGGCAACACACAGCACAGTTCCCCAGCTCAAAAAATGCTATCTTGCTAAGAATGCCTTTTGTTTACTCTGTTCTTAGGTACAGCCTTAGTAAAAGCTGAGCAACAAATCATTAACCTAAAGAGATAATTTAAAGTTGGTTTTTGAAATAAATTCTAAAGATTAGATATTTACCTACTACTTGTATCTTTCTAGGAGGAGTAAGCACTGAGTAAAAACATTGCTTCTAGGATTCCCAACAGAGGCATTCACCATACCCACCACGAAAGTTATTTTTTCTTTCCTCAAATACAATCTGGAGTTTACTTTGGTGGGAACTGGACCTCAGAATTTACTATTGCAAGGGGATAGTGAAGCCTGGAATTGCAAACCACACCTGTGCTCTGGTCCTCAGATCCACAAAGAGCCTGCACTACACATTCCTTGGAACCAGAGTCCCAGAAAAGGCTGACCAGATTGGGCCAAAAAGCCCTGGCTGGTGTGGCTCAGTGGATTGTATGCCATCCTGCAAACCAAAGGGTAGCCAGTTCGATTCCCAGTCAGGTCATATGCCTGGGTTGCAGGCCATGTTCCCAGTAGGGGGTGTGCAAGATGCAACCACACGTTGATGTTTCTCTCCCTCTCTTTCTCTATCTCTTCCCCTCTCTCTAGAAATAAATAAATAAAATCTTAAAAAACAAAACAAAACAACAACAACAAAAACAATGAGCCAAAAGGATACAGCCTGCAAGTTCTAGAACAACCCTGAGTGTGGATCAGATCGTGATGGCTACAGGCCTCAACTCTGGGTCTGCCTTAAGCAGCAGTTGCTCATGCTAAAATCAGGTATCCTTGCATTCCACCTCTCAGACCGGCACTGTTTTTTCCTGGGCATTTGAAATAGTTGACAACCTTCCTTAACACCTTCTGAGCACTTAGCCAAAGACAGCACCCAAGTCCTATACAAAAGTAATCAGTTAATCTTCAAGGTGACTCTTTGACTTGAACCCTTATCACAACCATTTTACAACACAGAAACCAAGGCTAAGAGAAATTAAACAACTTGTCCAAGGTTGAGGCAATGACACCTCTGCGAACTCAACAGTCCCAGTTTGGGTGCCCTAATACGGATCTCCTACTTTGTCAGTTCTTGAAATAAAAAAGTTCGGAAGCCATATATAAACACTGTTCATTAAAAAGAAACAAGCACTTTTCTCTATTTTGTTTTTCTGTCTTCTACTATGGATTTTTCCTTCCTGCCCTGCCCAAACACGATATTGCAGGACTTTCTCTTTAGTTCATCAGTCCACACATCTCCGCAGGCCGGCAGGTGCCGTCAGATCTGACCCCATCACATGTGTGAACAGTAATAGAGTTTTCCAGAAGGCATCACTTTACTCTCATCCACAAAGATCCTTGTTTCTTCCTATAGACAAATTACTGGTTCATGTATCATGATTCAAATTATATTCAGGAATGTTCGTTTGCAGTGTAATTATTCTCCCTAATTAAACCGCTGTGAAGACAAACGATCTCCCTCCCCACCCCCATCGTCCCTAGTAACACACGCCTGTCTTCTTTCCTGGCATAAAATGCTAGCTGCACCGGTTCGGGCCACAAGCAGCCACACTACCTGCTCCCTGCGTGACCACTTGCGGGTGGGGAGGGGGGAATACTATTACAACATGGCGTTTTACACGATGTTACTTCAAACCCCGCAAGTGTTTCATCAGAATCAGATTTCTGACACAGATTAATAACGAGTCTATTCCAGGATGGCAGCAAAAAGAAATGAGAATCTAGGGTTTTATTTCTTTTCCCTATTGTTAAAACATTTAATCTCCCCAGCAGCATCTGTTTTCTATCTCTTAAATTTGAAAAGGAAAAGTTGTTTTTAAAGAGGGCCAGTAGAAAAGATCAGGAAAGGGCAATTCCAAAGAAATTAACGTCTGGTCATGGCTTAAACCTGGCGTGGGTGGGGCTCTCAGGCGATCAACGTCGCTTCGGACTCGGTTACTCAGATCAAACTCCCAGGCCCGGCTCCACCAGCTCCACCAGCGCCCCCTGCCCCTCCCCCTCCCGCCCGCACCTCTCCGGGGGCTCCACACACACTTGTCTATAGGGGCCGCCTTGCGATTTCAAGCAGTTCTACTTTTGCATGTGGGTCACTGATAGCAACCTACAGGCACGCACACAATCACAGCAGAGAAAACGGGAAATTCAGGAAATGCCCGGGATGGGAGCGAGGATGGGGGTGGGGGGTCAGACTTCGTCTTTACGCCGCTTTACTCGCATCGAAATAGATCGTGGACACTCCCGAAATAACAGTTGAACGGGACTGTAGAAAACCCTTTTGCTTTTCTGAGTTCAAAAAGCACTAGACCGCTGAATGGAAGGGAGGGGGGAAAAAAACCTTTGTGCCTAAAAGCATCCAGAAACACACACACACACACACACACACACACACACACACACACACACACACAGTGTTCCCCAGCCCTTCGCCCCATCCCATGGGCTCAACCCACCCGTTCCAGATGTGGTCTTCCCCTCTCAACGCCCACCTCCCCCCAGCCCGCACCCCAAATCACTGCGCTGCCCACAAAAATGCAGCCCAGATCTGAGGAGCAGCTGACGTCTGTGGCCGGCGTGACCCACACACCACAGACCAGGCTCCCCGGGCGCGGTACCAGGCGCGCCGAGCCGCGTCCTGGACCCGCGCGCAGCAGGCACTCCGCGGTCGCCGCCGGTCGCGCCGGCTTCCCGGGAAATCTCTGCTCCAGGCACAACTTTTTTCCACTCCTGCTGCCCGCGGCCGCGGCGGTGAGCGCAGAAGCAGCCGTTCCCTCCCATTTCCAGCTTCCAACACCCGTCCCGCTGCAGCTCCCCGGCCCGATCGTCTTCCCTCCCCGCGGGCTCCGTGGTCGCCGGAGCGGAGTTCTCGCGCCAGCCGCCGGGCGCGCAACCGGGTCTCCCGGCCGACACGGTTCTGCCAGAAGCCTCGCGGGGGTCCCCCGCCGCCCCACCTGGAGGGAGATGAGGGCTCTGCCTCCTGCAGGGCGCTCGGGGTCCGGCGGCTCCAACTCACCCAGCCCCGGCTCCGCGTCTCCGAGCGCGCAGCCTTCCCCAGCCGGGGCTTTCCGTTACGCCTCCTTGCAGCCACCACTCTCTCCGGCCGGCCGGCCGCTCCGGGAAGAAGGAGGAGGGAGGAGAGGGGAGGAGGCAGCGAGACGAGGGGGCGAGGGAGAGGTGGGGAGAGGGTCCACGGGTGGGGGAGGAGGAGCAGGCGAGGCTAAAGCGCCGACCTGGGCCGCCGCCGCCGCCGCCGCCGCCGGGCTCAGAGGAGGAGGAGGAGGAAGAGGGGCGGGGGCAGAGAAAGAAAGAGGCCGCCGAGCCTCCCCGCCCAGGACCCGGCCCCGCGCCGCTGCCCAGTCACCATCGCCGCCCGTGTCCCGCTCTCGGGCCGGGCGTCCGGGGGAGGGGTCGGGCCCGGGTCTCCCCCGGAGCGGGGCGGGGCGGGGGCGGTGGGAGGACGAGGCCCGGCCTCCGGAGGGGAGTGTCCTGCGCCGCCCGGAGGGTGTGGGCGAAAGGGGATCCCCGGGGGGAGGGGCGGAGGCCCGGGGGCCTGGGAGCCTGTCACTGCGTCCGCCCTGCGTCCGCGCCGCCCGGAGTCCGGAGCCGCGCCGGGTCCCTCCGGGGACAGTTTCCAGAAACCGTTGGAGGAGTGCAGAGAGAGGCGGGGAGCTGCCAAGTGGGTGTTGGGGTGAGAGGCCGGACTCCGGCGGAGAGCGGGCCCCGGAGCGCCCGGGGCAGTTCCCCAGACCCGGGCCCCAGCGGGAAGAGCGTGTGTCCGCGGGTCCCGGGGAATCCTCAGCGGGAAGGCGGGGTGGGGGTGCCCAGAGACCCCCTTCCTCGCCGTCCTCTCCGGGAGCGGAGGCTCCAGGCATACGCTTCCGTGTCCTGCGAGCCTCTAGGTGAGGAAACTCGGGAAGAACAGTCTCAAGGAATATTTGTAGCTGCATTGCTTGGGGTTCTGAAACACCCTCTCCTGCACTCGAATTACGATCTCGGGGTGAATTTCTGAGGCGTTAAAGCTTGCAGAGAAAGGAAACTCACTAACTCCCCACCACCGCCGGGAAAGCAAAGAGCACAAAATTAAATAGCCACGAGTTAAGGTGACAATATTCCTTGTTGTAATTTAAACGTCGGGACGAGACACTTAAAGGCACTTAGCCAAGGAAATCCTTCTTGTCTTCTTTCCCTGACCTCCTGTTCCCAACTTCTGAGCCCGGAGCCCGGGACACCTGCATCCAGTCGACTGACCTCGGAGCCCAGCAGTCAGTCCCTCGGGGCCTCTCTCCTCCACTGCCAACGGCCGCTCACATCGATTCTTCCCTTCTGGGCTCTTTCCAGTTGCCCCTCCTTTTCCAGACCACTGCCACCTTCCTGGTCCTCGGTGTTCAGAGACGTGGTGGCTCCAATGCTCCTCTTCGGTTCCCTCTTTGCACTGGCATCCATCTGCACTAACCTGCAGGTTAAGGGTTCTAGAACTCTGCTCAGGCAGACCACTTCCTGTTCTAGAAGCTCTTTGACCCAAAATTCTGAATCACTTAAAAACCTTTCTACTAAAAACCATGCACCTACCGGCTCCTGGGACCCGGGTGCTCTCCCCTCCCCTCCCACCAGAAGGTTCCATGCTGTATCCATATGGGAGTTTCTGATGCTCTTGCCAGACTGGAATGCTCTCTTCCATCTTCCCGCACATCCCAGTCCCATTTATCTTTATTGAAAATGAAATTTCAGTACAACATTTATTCTATAAAAGGATGTGTGTGTTCTTCACATTTTGGAAATCATTCACTGGAAATAACAAGGCTTATGGGGAAAACAGGGTTAAGAGCAAACCACTCAAAATCTATGTAACGTTGCAACCCCAGCACTAACAAAAACAGCAACCATTCCTGGAGTGGTGGACGCACAATACAGTATACAGATGATGTATTATAGAATTGTATACCTGAATCCTACGTAACTTAATTAACCAATGTCACTCCAGTATATTCAATATACATTTTAAAGTAAAAGTACAAAAAAGATTTTTTTTAAAGAGACACCAGGGTTGCACTCACGCACAGAGGAGAAACCGTGTGAGGACACAGTGAAAAGATGGCCATTTACAAGCCACGGGCAGAGGCCTCATGGAAAACCAAACCTGCCAACACCTTGATCTTGGACTTCTAGCCTCCAGAACTCTGAAGAAATACATTTCTGTTCTTCAAGCCACCTTGTCTGTGTGTGTTGTTTTGGCAGCCGTGGCAGAGTAATATAAACAGGTACTTACTGGCGGCCAATACAGGCATTACAGAGAGAGTCTCCTCACCCTGGCTGCAGTTATCTGAAGGCAGGACCTGAGACTCATATTTCTTTGTATTCCCCCAGATGCTCAGTGATGTTTGACTCACAGAACAGGACCTCAGCGTGCACATACACACACAAGCAAACAAACAAAAAACCCAGCAACCATTCCAAAAAAATCAGCAAGATTTTATGAGCCATATTAAATTCCTAAGAAATATTACAACAAACATAAATATAGGACGTGAGCTTTATAAAAAGATGGATGTAATTTATGAGGAGATTGGAAGGAAAGTTGTTTGAAGGCACAGAGTTAGGAAGATAAGCACAAAATGTACAAATAAAAAGCGAATTTCCCAGCCCCAATTAGCCCTTCCAAGTTAGAGCTCATGGCCAAACCAATCCAAGAGAAAGAACACGGGGTGAGTGGACATCAGGTATAGTACCGTGTGCTCTCTACCACTCACATTCTACTCTGTGTTTTGCTTGCAGCTGCTCTTGATGATGCAAAATTTGAGGTGCTGAGAACAACTGCATGTGAATCGATACAACTACCCCAATTCACTAATATCCTTTTGCTACCTATCAGTCATGAATCAGCTAATCTGCTACATATACCCTCATTACAGAAGCATGCTGGTAACAGAGCAGACTGTACTTACTTCTGACTTATTAAAGAAGACTGTACTTCATTCTATACATCTATTGAGCACTTAAGTGTACGCCAGTGGTAGTTCAGGCACTGGCAATGCATCAGTGAACAAAGAGAAATACAAAACTGTTTACCCTCATGGATATGGATACTTGAACATATGATTCATACTTGAACATCACGGATGATCTGCATTGTTTTGTGGTATACACGTTTCGTATGTATGCAACTTGAATTGACACCTCACCTACATTCTAATCTCTCTGAGCACTAGAGTTGAGCCTTATGTTTTTGTAGCTTTCACAATGTCTAACATAATAAATACCTACTGGGGGGTGTAAATTAAGGAATTTATACCCATGTATACCTTGTGCTATTGAATTCACAGAAGAACCACTTGGGAAATCTAAAACTAAAGTTTTCTCAGGCTCTTTCCCTAGGGACCCACCAAGATGGGCCAGGATCATATCAAGACCGTGAAGGAGGTGGCCAGGGTCACCCCTGAAAGGCACGACACGCGTGTGGGCTACCACTTCCACACCAGAAAGTGCAAGTGTGAGGAGATCACCATTATCCCCAGCAAGAAGCTCCGCAATAAGCAAGGCGGCTCTGTCCACATCTGATGAAGCAGACTCAGAAAGGCCCTGTGAGAGGTATTCTCATCAAGATGCAGGAAGAAGAGAGATAACTGTGTGCCTGAGGTTTCAGCCCCAGATCAGGAGGTCATTGAAGCTGATCCTGACACTAAGCAGATGCTGAAGGTCAGGGACTATAGCAGTCTGTCCAGCCTGCGGGTCGCTCAGCCTACAGTTGGGATGAATTTCAAAATACCAGGTGGAGCCATTTGAATCTTTCTGTTGTGCCATAATGTCAATAAACCATGGAAAAGCAGTAAAAGGAAAAGTTTTCTCAGAACCATGTCTGTTGTTATTTGGGCTAAAATCGAAGAAAGTTGTCCCCAGATAGAATCATTTGGATCTGAAGAGTAGATAAATGACACGTACTAGGATGCAAGAAGTTAGAGATGGGAAGGGGAGGGAAAATAGAGAAGGAGAGAGAGGCTAAAAGTTGCAGTTCAAGGAGAAAGTCCCTGCTGTGTCCTCCGGAAAGGCAGGCCCGGGGAAAGAAGTGTAATGACAGGAACTTTGGGATATTGCGAATGCTGCTTCAGCCACATTGTCAAGAAACACTTACTATGAGGCCTAAGTGAAGGGGAAATTAAAGGGAACCTGCCAAGTTTGGTCAAGTGACAAAGAAGCCTTGGAAGAAAATAATTATGAGCCACAAGATAGGTCATAAGGTAAAATTACCCTGGGACTGGCTACAATGTTGTGATTCTGAATTTGCTGGCCCGTGCAGATCACTCAGTCCTCTCCGCATTACATCCTCCCGAGGTAACTTACATTAACCGGGCTCCACGTTCTTCAGTGGGAACGCTTGGTGTCCTACTCTGTGTATGACTCTGCTTGGAATTGAAATACAATAAAATATGTATGTATAGTAGACACACTTGGTATTTTTCATGATTGTCAGCACACCGAATATTGATTAAATTTGCTTATACATTTTCATGGAAACCTACCTCTCAAATCCACCACTACCACCCCTCATTTCGAGAGATGATACTTCCTTATTACAGTAATCATAAAATTTCAGTGCTAGACACAAACTTGGAAATCAATGTCTTTTAAAAATCACATAAAAATTAAGTGATTTAAACTGAGAATCTCTTTAGGGTAACTAGCAAATTTGCAATTCACCAACTTGGTCCTGTGAAAAATCAGTCTCTTAAAATTATCATTCTAGCCCTGGCTGGTGTGGCTCACTGGTTGAGTGCTGGGCTGCGAATCAAAGGGTTGCGGGTTCGATTCCCAATGAGGGCACATGCCTAGGCTGTGAGCCAGGTCCCCAGTAGGGAGCAGGCGAAAGGCAACCACACACTGATGTTTCTCTCCCTCTCTTTCTCCCTCCCTTCCCCTCTCCCTAAAAATAAATAAATAAAATCTTAAAAAAAAATTTTCATTCTGCTTTGTTATTCCATGGGCCTAATTGTGCAAAGAAGCCATCTAAAATTATGACTCTATTTTCCTTGACAAGTATGGGTTCAGAAATGGCTATTTTGAGCACAAAACCTTGAAGGGCTCTACTGATTCAAAAGGACCCTGTCTGTTAAAACCCGTGTTCTGATCTCCGTGAGAAGGAAGCTGTCTTCGGGGCCCCAGGAAGGGCCTGGCTGAGGTCTCTCACAGACAGTGATGCCGTGTTTCTGTTTCTGCTCCCACCTGGCAGTTTTTATGTCATGGGGGAAAATGAAGCCTGTAACTACAAAAGAAATTTCTCCATTTTTACTGAAATCCCATTACCACAGTGCCAGGCTATCTGATAAATGAGGATCTGATCAATGCCTGCAACTGAGAACAAACATTACAAGTACCGGTAGGCACAGAGGGTTTCTCAGTAACCACATAATGGGAGAGCAGT